TGCTTTTAACAAAATTTTTTTAAAACAGCTAATCAACGAATTAATGTCTGGAAAGCTGTCACGGATAAACTCACAAACTCGGTGTAACGCGTGAGCAAGGCAAGTTACATGCAGCATGTTTGGAAAATGTTCTTGTAATAGTTTCCCTGTTTTCAACATTACACTTGCCGCGTCTGAAATAAACAATAAAACTTTTGAAACGTCATTATCAATTACATTGTTCAATCCACGTTTCACTATTTCATAAATCATTTCAGCGTTCACAGTTTCACGAAACACACTAGAAACTAAATACTGTTGTGAAGTATTTTCAGCACTTAATAATCCTACAACAACATTAACAACACATCTACCCTTTATGTCAGTCGTTTCATCTGCACTAACCCAAATATATTTGCTGGAAATTTTCGTTTTTATTGCCGTCATTGCTTTATCGTACTGATTTTGAATATAATGTTTTCTAATTGTGGATTCATCCGGTATTTTACGTTTAGTATATTTACAAAGAAAATTTTTGAAAATTGTATTATTTAATTTTGTTAATGGAATATTTGCAGAAACAAATGCGTTGCATAAATCTTCATAAAAGATTTTGTCTGGACATCCCTCTAAAGATTGCATGTGTTTTTGTGTTTTCACATGTTGTGTCATACTTGACTTTCCATTAAAAACTAACACCTGATCACAATTGCGGCAGTATAATTTGTTGTCATTAAAACGACGAAAACAATCAAAGTCCGATAATAAATTTTCCATATTTACGTTTCCAGTTTCTATCACTTTTCCCTTTGAACTAAACAAATATACTCATTGGAAAAATCTAGTGATATTTTTACAAGACACTTTCTTCTCAAATCTCCTGTTTATCGACTCTTTGTTATCTTTTTACATTTTTTCAACCAACAGATACCTATATAGAGTGAGCAATTGAATTAATACATACATTACAGAAATTTAACAGACATTTATTTTATTGTCTCATCGTGTATAAGTACCATAATATCCACAGGAAATAAAAACATAAATGTTTTGTTACAAAAAATCGGTATGTACGGTATCGATAAAAGCCAAAATATTCATAAATATAATATAAGGATTGACTTTATTTGAATAAAAATATCACCGGCAACTAACCGACAATGGATCGAGAAAGTATAAGACAACATATGATGGGCCTATTTGACATTCATTTTAGGCCCTCTCTACAGCGTCTTAGTCCAAACGCTCGTAGAGTCCTAATATTTGGCCCCGATGCAATTTCTCCAACAATGAATCGGGACCAGCTAAGGCTAGAAATTTCCAATTTTCTGGAGGAAATAACAAATTCGGGGGAGGCAGCTGGGGTCCTCGATCCTCATTTTAGGCAGGAGAGTAGTGTACCACGCCAAAATATTGAGGAATAGATATTTTGTAATTATATAAGAGATAATAATAAAAAAAATATCATACAGAATATCGTTTACATTACTACACCTTAAACTCGCTTATGAAAAGTTTAACATCTTCATCAAAAAAGTTATTTTTTTTTAAGGAAAATTTCTCAGGCCACAAATTAAAGGATCTGAGGTTACTAAAAACTTTTGTAAAATATCCTACATATCCTCGGCGTTGGTGAGAAGAAAACATTAAATTTGTTTAATGAAAATGATTCAAAAGACAAAGAATATAGGTACACGATAAAAAAAAATCTCACTTTTTTGTATTAGTTTTAATGTCTATGTATATATCAGTACACTTTTTTTATCTTGTTTTAATAAAAAAAAGAGGTTTGTCCTGATAGTATTAGAATCTGCCGCACTGTCTGCCGTCTTAAATAGCGAACCCAGAATGAGACGCCTATGTGATTAAAACCAATTATTTGAACGCGATTAAAATGTCCGGTCTTTAATTATAACTAAAAAAGTATAATACATCATATTATAAAATTCGGGTGGGTAAAAATTTTTTTTTTCTACAGTGTAATTGGCTGCTGGACGTTGAATTATGTACGATTCTCTCACAAATATGTCAATTCCTTGAAAAGTACCTTATATAACATAGACAAACCATATATTAGAAGAATGGAAAAAAGATGAGTAAACAGAATCTAAAATAATATACTGTGGTCATCATTAAAAAAAACAATGTTTGGTTCGTACACGAGCTATACCTCCCAATAATTTTAAAATGTTAACCTCAAACCTGTCCATAATTTTCTTAATACACTTTTTTAATATCTCTTTCAACAAGGAAGATATCGAACTTTTCCACAAGATTGGTCCACCTTGTATAAGGATAAGACATGTCTTTATACGCGAGCTTGTAGTGGAAGAGGAAATCTTAGTAACGAAGGTATCATCTGAAAATCATCTTATCTCCTGACGAAGCCTATTCCAAAACCAAGACTACAACAGTTGATGAAAATGGGACTAGATGTTTAAATATTTTAAATGAGGACGAGTGTTGTGTTTTAGCATTTTGTAATTTTTAGGATCCGTGTTTCATATCCATATATATAAAATTGTTTGTCCTGACTGACTGACTGACTGACCTATCAGCGTACAGCCAAAACTACTAAGCCTAGAAAGCTGAAATTTGGAACATAGGTTAATTTTACAACGTAAGCATCCGCTAAGAAAGGATTTTTGGAAATTTTAACTTAAGGGGGGAAATGGGAGGAAATGGAGGGAGAGCTTTTAATGACTCTTTGTTCTTTAAAGTTAGAAACATGAAAATTTAAATTACAGCTGCTGAGCCTAAATAAATAATGACCTGTTTCAGGGTTTTTGGATTTTTTACATTTTAAGGGGGGGAAACGGGGGGTGAGAGTTTCTAAAGGACTAACGATTTTTTTGTTCTCTATGAAGTTAGAAACATGAAAATTGGAATTCCAGCTACTGACTACAAATTATTAATGACGTGTTTCAGGATTTTTGGATTTTCACATTTTAAGGGGGGAAATGGGTGAAAATTTATTCGGGAGTATCCTTGTTTTTGGTTCCCTTTAAAGTTAAAAACATGAAAGTTGGAATTGCAGCTACTGAGTACAAATTAATAATAATATGTTTTAGGGTTTTTATATTTTTACATCTTAAGGGGGACAAGCGGGGGTAAAAGTTTGTATGGGAGTGTAACTTTTTTTGTTCTCTTTGAAGTTAGAAACATGAAAATTGGAATTGCAGCTAATGAGTACAAATTAATAATTATGTGTTTTAGGGTTTTTGAATTTTCACATTTTAAGAGGAGGAAACGGGGGGGGGGTGAAAGTTTATTTGGAAATATCGATTTTTTAAAGGTAGGAACGTGAAAATTGGAATTGTAGGTTCTAATCATAAATAAATAATGAAGTGTTTCATGGCTTTTGGATTTTCACATTTTAAGGGGGGAAAACAGGGGTGAAATTTAATAAAAATTAATAAAAAATTAATAAAAATTAATAACACTTAATAAAAATTATTAAAAGTTTTAAAAAATTAACAAAAATTAATAAAAATTAATATAAAATTAATAAAAAAATAATAAAAATTAATAAAAATTATTAAAAATTAATAAAAATTATTAAAAATTAATAAAAATGAATAAAAATTATTAAAAATTAATAAAAATTAATAAAAATTAATAAAAATTATTAAAAATTATTAAAAATTATTAAAAATTAATAAAAATGAATAAAAATTATTAAAAATTAATAAAAATTAATAAAAATTAATTAAAATTAATAAAAATTAATAAAAATTAATAAAAATTAATAGAAATTAATATAAATTAATAAAAATTAATAGAAATTAATAAAAATTAATAAAAAGTAATAAAAATTAATAAAAATTAATAAAAATTAATAAAAATTAAAAAAAAATTAAAAAAAATTAATAAAAATTAATAAAAATTAATAAAAATTAATAAAAATTAATAAAAATTAATAAATAAAATTAATAAAAATTAATAAAATTAATAAAAATTAATAAAAATTAATAAAAATTAATAAAAATTAATAAAAATTAATAAAAATTAATAAAAATTAATAAAAATTAATAAAAATTAATAAAAATTAATAAAAATTAATAAAAATTAATAAAAATTAATAAAAATTAATAAAAATTAATAAAAATTAATAAAAATTAATAAAAATTAATAAAAATTAATAAAAATTAATAAAAATTAATAAAAATTAATAAAAATTAATAAAAATTAATAAAAATTAATAAAAATTAATAAAAAGTAATAAAAATTAATAAAAATTATTAAAAATTATTAAAAATTATTAAAAATTATTAAAAATTATTAAAAATTATTAAAAATTATTAAAAATTATTAAAAATTATTAAAAATTATTAAAAATTATTAAAAATTATTAAAAATTATTAAAAATTATTAAAAATTATTAAAAATTATTAAAAATTATTAAAAATTAATAAAAATGAATAAACATGAATACAAATGAATAAAAATTAAAATAAAATGAATAAATATAAAAAAATTAAAAAATGAATTAAAATCAATAAAACTAATAAAAATTATTAAAAGAGGAAGTCATGTATTTTTTTATATCAATAACACGACAATATGCGAGCAAAGTCGCGAGCAAAGCCGCGGGCAATAGTCTATATATTCGTTTGTTTGTTTAAAGTTTACAAAATATACCGACAGAATTTTGAAAAGTAAACAAGTTGTAATTATATTTTATAATAAAGAGTTTTACCGAATCCCTACAAAATTTATTTAACAAGAGTTCATCTGCTACAAATGTTTCTAACAAATTACCCTAGGATTGTCGATTTTGTTATTTTATGATTTTAATACTTTTATAGTGTTAACATATATTTATATTTCGTGCTGTAATTTTGATTCATTTGTATTTGTTTTCAAAATTTATGTATATATAATGTCCGTCATTTATAAGATTTGTTAAAGTTTTAATTATCATATTTATGTATTTATTTTACTTTGGCTTTACTCCGCTATGCTTTCACCACACAGCTTTCCCAATACGTAAATATTTTCTTCTTTTCCTTCTTTAATAGTGATATGGAGGACCTTCGAGCTACATTCGCTGCAACAGTAGAGTGCTCATCAATGCAATTGCGGCATACGTTTGCCTGCTCGCAGAAATTGAAGCAATTATCGCCCACAGTGAGTTGTAAAATAGGCATAATAATTGCCATAACACCTGAAAGCTCAATCACAAAATCGAATACTAACATTATTGTATTTATCTTTCTCGTCGCTTCGGAAAATCATCGCTGCTTAAACTATCGCTGCTGAAATCATCGCTGCTGAAATCATTGCTGCTTAAATAATACACGCCTCATTGCATCTGTAACGTCTTTTGGTAGAGACTCTTATTTTATATACCTTTACAGGTTAAAAGCATTTAACCAAGTTGAAACACTTTTTTCTCATATCCATAACAATTATTTTATTGTGGTGTAGCCCCTTAACTAACTACATTAAATGTTAAAATTTATTTAAACTTACAAAATCGATAATCGCAATATAAGTCAGATTATTAAATCAATTTTATTTTTTGTATTATTTAGTGTAATTATGTTTTTTTTTTTCAGTTCTTGCCCAGCAACACCTTCGCGGACCAGACCTAGATCCAATTAACTTTTTTAACTTAAGACTATCAATATTTTTGATCAATTTTTTTATTCAATACAATTTAGCTGCATTTTACTCCACAAATAATATTTATTAACTATTTTTAGTCGTACTTGCCGTACATATGTAGCTGATAATTTTAAAACATTCCTATGAATAATGTAGTGTAGGAGAGACAAAGAACTTATTATTCTTTTATATATGTTATTTTATATACATTTTATATTTAAAGTGCCAGATAGTTTTTACCTTAATTAAGTTTATTTTTATATAGGAAAACTATATAAGTAATACCTTATAATTTTTAAATGTTCCATGAAGCTTGCTTAAAACTATTTATATATATTTTTTACAAATCGTTAGAATTATTTATTTCCATAATTTAAATTGCACATTATTTACAAAATTGATATAAAAAATCTGATACCTCTGGTAAGGTATTTTATTTTATATTTATGAGTCACTAAAGTCGACGGATTGAAAAAGAACAAGGCTAGTTTGAATATTCTTTCAAATAGCCACTCAAAATAATTTTAGTTTAAATGATGAATAAAGTAATGTGTTTTGAAATAGTTTTCACAATATTACCACAGAAGAGAGAACAATACAGAAAAGAAACATAGGGCTAGTTCCACCACAAAGATACTCTGAGAAAACGTAACTATTTACCGTATACCTAGCTCTGTGGTTTTTAATTTTTTAATAATTTTTAATAATTTTTAATAATTTTTAATAATTTTTAATAATTTTTAATGGATTTTAAATTTACGATGAGAATCAAATTTTAAAAGTGATTAACTTAACAAACTATTCAAACAGGCAAATATGTCGACAAAAAAAAAAAATACAGAGTAAATGCAATTTTCAAATTAGTATATTCTAAAATTAAATCTATGAATTAAACTTGAAATTAAAAGTAGCTCTTATTAAAATACCTTTTTGATTTTTGTGTTTACTATGCACGTATTTGTAAACCTACAAGTGCTTTCTCAAACGTAGTTTATAGTTACAAAAATAAATTGCTCTGCCTATTTAAATATTATGTACTAGAAGGGAGACAGAAGTTAAACGGTACTTTCATAGTTCTTCCATTTCATATACAGGATTTGAGTTTTGTCATGGATCTAACCAAAGTGATGCTATTAACAATTTCGGGTATTCATGTAAATAGTTTAAGAAATTGTGAATTGTTTAATTATTATCTAGTCCATAAATACTTATGATTCTCGGTTAGGTTAGGTATCAATTTAAAATGATGGTATTATTTTTAATCTACGTTATGGACACTATAAGTTCGACATTTACGACCTCTCCAACTACCAAACTACTGTTTAACTTCTGTCTACACTTTCTACCTTTGTGAGGACCAAACAAAATCAAAATAAAGTATTAAGGTTTTATTTTTGCTTCTTATTTCGTTCTAAAATAGTATAAAAATGCTACGCTCAAAATTTCATATACGTCACGTTGTGTACACCACAGAGTACATGTCTGTATTTTCTGTAACTTCACCAATCCCCGAAGACAATGCCATAGAAAATAAAAATCGAATCGACCTGTGTGAGAGCAATGAGAAATCACTGAGTTTGTAAAGTCTCGGAAATATCCAAGTCCATTCGCTTTCTTTAATTGTGTAAGTGTAAAATGAATGAAACAAAAAGTTACTAGATTTTGGTACGACTAGACGTATACGTGTAGACTAGCTGCTAACTGCTCATAACTGATTCTATCTCTTTTAGACACAATTTCGGAAAAATTGAATTTGAAAATGAATAATGATCCACAAGAATCCACAACAAAATATGGAACCACTATTGACGCGCTATTTTCCAGATATTTAGAGGATATCAAGTCTCAAACTTATGTTTCTTATTTCAGTTACCATAAACCTATAGTTTCAATGATAAAAATTCCTGAATAACCTACATGTATTGTAAGATAATAAAAATATTTTAAACAATAATAACTGTTCATTTATTCAATAAAAGAAAAAATTTGTTTTCTTATCGGTCACCACGCTCAAAAAGTAACTTGAATTAATATCAAAGAAAAAAAATACTGCATGAATAAAATAAATAAATAGTTATAATTGCATAAGTTGATAAAAAATGCTATGCAATAGCTTTACCGCGGCAGTCCTCGAGTGCCAAACGTATTTTTATTTTATTACATGTTTTTGTGTTGTTGTTTTCCCATTGTTATTTTGTTCTAGCCATGTACTTCAATAAAAATTTTACATTTTTTTAGGAATTTAAAAAGTTGTACTGAATAATTGATAGGCAAACATCTGGAAAACGGTCACTCGGAGCAACATTTACAAAGTATTACTATATCTGTTATTGTCTTCACTTATTTAGTATAATGTAAGTTTAAATTGAATATTATATCATCCAGTATGAAACGTAATATTTCACCTATATTTATTATTCTCATTACTTATACTTCGCAAAGACGGTATTGCCCTAATTGGTCAATAGCGGGACACAAAAAGGTTGATAATTTTAAAGAGATTTCATGCGCCTTAAGTTGTTCCCTCTATAAAGTGGCATCTGAACTAAGAACGGATTTGAATAGGCCTTTTCATCACAATTTTTTTTTGTACGCATGCGTCATCAGCCATGTTATTCGTACTGTTTTTTGTAAACAAGCATGTTAGAATGTCCACGTGAAAAAAGTTATAATCGATAAATATTAATTTTAAGTATATTCGTTTAAAAAATGGGATAAAAAAAATAAAGTAATAAGTGTCTTGATTGAAAAATCAATTTATGCAATCAATTAATTATGTTATCTTTACGGAAAGGAAAAACTAAACGGTATTGTTATGAGTATGTAAAAGTGACACATGGTATACATTATTTTATAAAAAGACTTATCTGCAATATCAAAAAAACTATCAAATCATTTGACAAAATACATATACATATAAATGAGCATTATGAATTAAAAAATGTGGTCGAAGTGACAAAGGTTTTCGATCGATTGATGGATGATGTTACTAAAGATACTTATATTTGTTCACTACATTTTCATAGAGAAAGTGGTTCAACAGAAGAAAATTGTTGTCTGGTATTACACAATATTTTTTAATATCGGTATACACTGTAATATTAAAAATATCATGTTGATCCTTAAAATTTTAAATAATTTATCTTATTAATTATACTCGTGATTAACTTCCATGTTAAAGTGTTTCTGCAATTATTAATAGTTGGTTGGCATAATTAATTAGAATAGACTTACAATTATGATCTGTTTTCATTAATTTTTACACAGTTAATATGTAGGTATTTTTTCTTGTTCCGAACGTCTACGTCACTTCAAGAACTTTTTTAATTTCTCACAACTATGTGCTTCCACAGAGTTATAAAAATGTAAATCACCATCAACGATTTTTTTCTAATGATTGATTTGTATGTATAGATAATATTGCTTTTCCAGCCATTGTTGATTAAAACAGCACGAAACTTTTGAATTGGCGCTATTTCAACATGGCGGTATGTCGCCCTGTATTTCGGTTATTGTCAACTTTGGTTAAATCACAATATTTTTTCCGAAATAATCTGCAGGTTTGCTGTGTACCATTAATTAGCGGACACTCTGAATAGTAAAGTATATTTTTTATTTTAAGCCAGGGCCGTAGCCAAAGGACGGCACATAGGAGTATAATGCCCTACCTCAATTTAGGAAGTTGAACAAACTCATTCCTTAACACAGTTAGATGCAGGCGAAGATCTATAGCGATCTACCTAGTAGTTAAACCTTCTAGAAGTTATTGAATTCCTGATGATATTGCTTAAATTGGGAAATTATTTACCAACAAAAAGCGAAACCAGAAATACTTTATGATCTCCATGCATCTCGGTGGCAACATTCGGCTGCGCTTCATGCGAATTTATTTTTTGGACGTTAACTGTGAAAAAGAAGCCTACAAAAATGTCATATTGGCTTACGAAATGATGGTAGGTATGGTGTTCTGTATCTGTATTTGTAACGTGTGGAGGGTGGGTTACCCTCACGGCACTTAGGCTTCATTAGGTCAATTGTGCATCCTCCTAAGATGATAAGCACCTCCTAGCTTGTGAGCCAGCCTACAGTTGACAACGTCGGCAAGAGGTGCTTCTCTTATATCGGCCGGTGTTAGCCGATACTCGCCGAACACAAATCTTGTAATAAATGAGAGCGTCGAGCAATCGTAAAGGATATGCTCGACTTCTTGTTCGCACCCTCTGCAGTGTGCGGATTCTGACGATGATATGGAGATGCTTCCGTACTTGGCAATGACCAGTCAGAATGGCTGTGACTAGGCGCAGATTCTGTCTAGTCATAGTCAAGTATTTGTTTATTGCTGCAGTGTTGTCAGGATAACTTAAGAGCCCCCTGGCAACTCTGCAGTTTCTTGTTTAATCCCATCTTTCCTTGAATTTCACAAGGGAATGTTCTTTAATTAGGTCTGTCACTACCAATTTTGTCAGGCCAATAGAAGGGCCAGGTCCTAAAAGTATTTGTTTGGCTGCTTTCTTGGCTAGTGAATCAGCAAGACGGTTACCTTTCGATGTGGCTTTATCTTTGATCCATCTTAAGGTGACCACATTTTGTTGATGGATACTTCGGCCAAAGCTTCGTGACATTCTAGTACTAACCCTGAATAAATTCGTGGTCTGTTCAGGGTGAGTAGTGCTTGTCTGCTATCTGTATAGATGAGCATGTTCCTTCCAGTGATATTGTTTCTCTGGTTATTTCTTTTGCTGCTATGAGAATCCCCGTCAGCTCTGTTTGAACTACACTGGCACTATTGCTCACAGCCCATTTTATGTTTAGATTTTAGAATCTGGAGTATGATCATGAGCCTTGTTTTGTTTTAGAACCGTCGGTGTAGATATGACTGGCTCTTTCTATTTGTTCTATTATAACTTTATATGGCTTATAGCAGATATATCTGACAACCAGTGGGAGCCTCCTGCCAAAAGTGACGTCTCGCCTCACCAGATCCTACATCAGGTTCTATTCCAACCATTGAGATAGAATAAAGAGGAGATGCTATGACGATGCTAAATTGTCCGCACTTTTGTATTACATTTTTAGGTCAATGTCAAATTCGAGTAATGTAGCTAGTCAGTTTTAGTGAGAATAAATGCCATTTTTCTTTAAATAGTTTCAAATAATGATATAAAATTATTTTCATTTAGTCAGTCTTTAAATATAAAATTATTGACTTCAAATAAATCAAAGTACGACTTAAGTCGCCATTTTGATTACACTTTTCCGTCACTTAAAGTGAGTCCATTTTGTCATATCGCAAAATAGTGTTTATGTCATCTCTACTTTATAATATCTCGATGATTCCAACCGTGTGGAGGCGTGTCATTGTCGTCAGAGCAACCTCCTTGATATAAATATCAAGGGAAGTCAGACTAAGAATGACTTCCATCGCTCTGGTCGACGTTGTTTTCATGGCTCCTGTTGTTGAGACATGCCTGTTCTTTGAATTTGTTCAAGTTTACGGATAGCTGTTAATTTTTGGGTTTTCGGTACCCAGATAACTGCACCGTATGTTAGCATAGGTCTTATGATAGCCGTGTAAGTCCATGCAACGACTCTGGGGGAGAAACCCCAGGTGCGCCCTACGGTTCGGCGGCATTGTTCATAAGCAATGTATGTTCTTTTAACTCTGTTTTCTAAATGCGAGTCCCATGTTAACTTGCTGTCAAAGCAGGTGAGACCTAGGTACTTCGCCTCTGTTGCAAGTTTAGATTTGTGTTTAGGAGTTCTGGAGGTTTTAACTCCATTTTCATACTTTTACTTGTTATGTGTTATATATGGTGTTTCTTGCACCTGAAAAAAAAAACGGAGAAAATAAATATCGTTGGCGTGTGCTACGAAAATTTCATAATGTGGCAAATTGAAGGCTACAACATGGCTTCAATAACTATCAAATATTTTAATTATATTTTTTTTATCGGTTTGTAAATTTTTATAAAAGTATTTGAATACCTGCATTAGATTATTTAAAAAATATAACGCATAATAATTTTATAAATAATATTCTGGAAAAATAATTTTCGACCCCCTATTCACCTACGTGTCCAACAACGTCATATCACGTCATACCAACCTAGCGTTGGGCCCTATTTCAAATTTCAGATACTTTACTTAAAAATCTGATGTGTCCAACACATGACTTTCCTATCTAGTTAATTATTATAGGCTTTTTCCGGTTATTTTGTACAACCTATTATACCTCCTCTATAAATATTTAGAGAATAAACTAAATATATACATTTTCCACATACATCTACCTCGAAACATTTTTCCATAGATATTCATTGAAAACGAAAATACTGTAGAATTTAAATTTAGCACTTTTCCTACAATTTTTCCATTACGGTCCATTTTAGAAAAATCATGTATAAATAAAAATTATAGAGATCGATATCGCAAACAACTTTTATTTCAACAATTTTCATAAAAATCAGAATTTTGCACATTTTGTCAAATTTCTCGAATACGGACTATTTCAGGAAATTTTTACATAAAACAAAAATTATAGATAATAATATTAGAAGTAACTTTTATTTGAACAATTTTCTTCTCCAAACATAAATAACAGATATATTCCATAAAATATAAAAACGGTCTCCCATAAAGTACCCCCCCCCCCCAGATGTTCCGACTTTGTCCAAAATCTAATCATTTCACGTCAGGCCGAAATAAAACTTAAGTTTAAAATTTAATGTTTTTTTCTTTATCCGTTTTTTGAGTTTTCTTCAAATTTCGAAATTTACACATTTTCTCAAATATCTCGAATACGGTCCATTTTAGAGAAATTATGTATAGGCTAAAAATTACACACACACGCACGCACTCACGCACGCACACAAACACAGACAGAGAGACATCGCGAAAATAGTCAAAACGGATTTAGGGCACCTCAAAACGTAAAAATCCGTCGAAAACTCGAGGTCGAAAAAATCATGATTCCTATACTTTCCTTATATCTGTATACAGATAGGAAAGTACAAATCTGATGTGGCCAATTTTCTGTATTTCCTGTCTCCTGTCCTAATAATGTTTTATATTTTTTTTTCTGCTTAACTTTCTGTACAACCTAGGTATATCACCCCTGTAAATGTTTAGAGGATCAACTAAACATACATTTTCCACACACCTCTATCTTACTCGAAACATGTTTTATATAATATATTAATTGTCATCGAAAATACTGAAAAATTAAAATTTTACTTTTTTCCTCATATTTTTCTATTACGGTCCATTTTAAGGAAATCATGTAAATGGAAAATTATAGAGAATGATATTGCAAACAACTTTTAATTGAACAATTTTCTTTTCTAAGTGTAAATAACGGATATATTCCTTAAAGTAAAAGAACGACCCCCTATATAAAGTACCTACCTCCCAGATGCTCTGACTATGCTCAAAATATAGTCAACTCAGAGGATAATTAAAGTTTAAATTTAAAATTTAGTGTTTTTCTCCATCCATTTTTGAGTTATTTAGGATATACAGGCGCACACAGACATCATCGCGAAAATAGTCAAAACGGATTCAGGGGACACTAAAACTTAAAAATCCGTCGAAAACTCGAGATCAAAAAAATCATGATTCCTATACATACCTTCTGTATACAGACAGGAACGTAAAAATTGGTTCTGCCCACGGCCCTGTTTCAGACGTACATATTTAGGTCATTCTTCGTTCCTAACGGTATTTATCTCAAATTAAATACATTTTGGTATTTTACAAAATACCGTTACTCTACATTCATATTCATAGGTACATTCAATACATTTTGTTGGAATGTTACCCCTAAAGTTCGACAACTCTCAATACCTCAGCAGGACTAGTGTTTGAGGTACGGTTACCACACAGAAAAATAAAATTTTAAATTTATTTTCTGACTCTGACAGTTCACTTTGTCTTCATCCGGTGTAGGTAACCCACAGATACTACAGATAGTGTTATTTTTTATTTTGCTGGTTAAAAAGGTACCAAAAATTGTATTTTATTTGATACTATTGTAACATATTTAAGTATTCCATTAGTAGGTGTACCTTCCTAATTGTAGATTACCTTAAATTCAAAAGTAGTTATTCTGATATTTATTAACTTATTGTATTATTAATATTTCATTACGATATCAAATACGCCGTTATTAATACCTAAAGCGAAGTGAGTCATCATTAATCGACTCCAATTACTTTTTTATGAATGGTCTACATTATCGTTTTTGAATATCCCACCATTTTACTAATAAGGTTGGTCATGCTGATTTGGTAAAAAACGCCGCCAAATGCCAAATACGAGATCGCCCGAAATCAAACCGAATCCAAAGTTCACGTATTTTTCTGTGTGTGGTGTGTGGTGTTTGTTCAAAAAATGTCTATTATTGTGATTTGTGATGCCGGTGCTTTTTAAATTGAAATAGACAAACGTTTTAATTAGTCAGCAAAATGGAGTCTCTTCAAAGAATAAATTTATACGTGACATTTGTGGAAAAAGAAGGTCCATTTTTAAAACTATATGGGCAAACCGACAAGAACAATTCTTTATACGTAGAACAATTTCTTGCTCAAGTTGCACCTCAATTCGACCTCGGTGTAGGAAAGATATCTCCAGAAACACTACCACCTGGAACCCTAATTTGTGCAAAATATAAAGACAATAAATATTACCGAGCGAAAATCTTGAACAGCCCATTTGTACGGGAAGGTAGTTTGGAGGTTAGCTTTATAGACTTCGGTAATAAAGGAATAGTGTCCACCGGATCTATAAGATCATTTCATAATTTTCAATCTACCATTATTAGCATTCCTCCTCTAGCTGTAGGTTTCATTTTTGCCGAAGCTCACTGTGTTGGAGGTGGGGAATGGAATGACACTATTTTTGAGAGCATTGCTAAAGAAATTAAGTATAGAGAGGTCCAGTGCACTTTGCTGTCACAAGCTACCAATTACTTCCTAGTGAGGATAGTTGTAGAAGGTACATTAATATCTTAATGCTTTTTTATATATATTTTTTTACTAGGTTTTATAAATGTTTTTATTTGAGCAAAAAAGTGACAAATAAATCACTTAATTTGAGTCTGACAATATATTATGGGCTATGCTATACACAAGTAAGAAGCTCAAATTTATTACTTCAAAACAAATGAATCATTAAATAAATTTTTTTGATGTTTTTATTTAAAGGTGCATTTAGTCAGCCTGATTTAGTTTTAAAATTGGATTTATAAACTACATCCAATTGGCATTCAGTTTCATGCTCAGTTCGAGTTGGTGAGTTCGTGCTGTACCCAAATATTTACGATATTGTGCCTTTAAACTTGGTCTAGCTACAGGTACATGTAATTATTCCACAATTCTAAACTTAATAAACCTCCCAACCCTTGGAAATCGAAGAATCTTCATGGATGTCATTCCTCTATAAGATCATAGCCTGGATTGTTACTTCTGATGAGTTATTATCCATGATTGCATTTAGAGTTCCCACAAGAACTACAACGAATAATAGTATATTTGCAATTTAACTTCACCTCACTAATTATGCTTATCATGCGCCCCTACCTAGGCTAATGAGACTGGCTAATCAATACAATTTAGATGTCACTGGGTGTTCAACTAGTCAATTCCAGAATGATGTGTAGAGAATGTTTTTAATTTTATGTATTTAATGTTTAAGATTTTTTTCTACCTACCTTTTATAATGTATTTAAGCGATTTTATGTAATTTATATATACTAATGGATCTTTCCATAATATATACATTTATTTATAAAGTTGTTGGCCGTTCATTCATCACTGCAAATTTTGACATTTGATTTGACAAGACATAACCACAAATTCCACAAAATAAATTATATTTCATTGTTATTTATTTATTTATCAAGGAGCAATTGCCCAATTAAAATACAGTTCAATAAAAGGAAAAATTTAAAACCTAATCTACACTTAGAGAATGTTAAAACAAAGAAATACACATTAGCATAAAATTAACATAAACAAGAAAAAATTAAATATAAAAAAAACAGGATAACAATTGTAAATAAGTTAAATTAAATTATCAAGACATCATGCATGATTTAAGCTGGGATTTAAAGACTTTTTTATTATCAAAGCAGTCCAATCTATTAGAATATTGATTAGCAAATCTACCCTATCTTGATAGAAAAGAATTATGTCCATAGTCAGATGTTGTCTAATATTAAAGGGTTGAATAAGCCTTGTTTGAAGGAACATGAATATTGATTTTTCCCAATAACTCTGGACTAAAGCTATGCGAGTGTAGTATATTGTAGAATGTGGTAAGATCCTTGTGCATGCGTCTAATCTGAAGGGTGGTAATATTAAGGGAACTCTCAATATTTGAGTAATTAATATCCTCAACTCCACGGTGGTCCTTAAATGAAATGAATCTTAAACATTTATGCTGAACTCTTTCAATGGCTTAAATATGAACATTGTAGTGGGAGGACCAGACAGGAACATTGTAGTGGGGGGACCAGACACATGAACAGTAATCTAAATGGGGCCTCACAAGTGAACAAAACAATATTTTAATGGATGATACCTCTAAATAATCCTTAGCGCAATGTTTAATAAAGCCTAGCATTTGAAGTGATTATGAGACTGCTATTGATATATGGGGTACATAAGATAAGTTGGAATCGAGGACTACACCCAAATCTTTAACTTGAGATACCGATTCCAAGGCCAACCATTAATATTATAGATTATTTGTTCTGTGGGACTTATGTTTCGACTGAAGACCATTTGATGGCACTTTTTAACATTAAGTTCCATTCCATTGATTTCACTTCAGTTGCTGAGACGATCTAAATCAGCTTGCAGTTTTATGTAATCAGATTCATTCTTTATTCTCATATATAATTTTAAATTATCTGCAAACATTAGGAATAGGGCAAAGACAAAACAGGATGCAATATCATTCACATATAAATTAAATAGAAGAAGGCCCAAGTATGAACCTTGAGGTACACCTGATGATACTTTAATTCCATATGATTGGAAGCCCTGAATACACACTATCTGTATCCTTTCAGTAAAGTAAGAAGATAGCCATTCAAGCAGTTCCCCCTGAATTCCCAAACTCTGCATCTTATTAATTAAAACTTTATGGTTAACCATATCGAAGGCTTTTTTAAAATCTGTATACACAGCATGTACTTGATAACCGTCCTCTAGGGATTCTAAGAGATAGTCAGTAAATGTTAAAAGTTTAAAAGGTGTTTTAATTAGATTTCTATATGGTTATATAATAATTATAAATCCATTATAATTTCTTATCCAAAACAAACCTATCATGTCATTTTAGGATCACCTTGACACATGCGTGGTCAAACAATCAAATACGAGTTTTTCATTGGCTCGACTTTTGAGTCTAACGTCGGCGAACGGCGAACATAAAAGTTGGTCATCTCTCAACATAAACTGAGCGAACGTCAACGAACGAATTTGATAAATGACAGTGTACATTCTGCTTTGTTTATGTTGAACTCAAACTTAGTTTGAACTGAATGAAGTTTATAAATTCAGCTTTAAGCTTCATGAGCACTGAATGTGTTAAAGAATTCAACTTACTTCTACTGGAATATATTTCCATTGGAATTCCACATACTTCCACTGAAATTCCATGTACATCCATATGCTTCTAGGATAATTCCACATACTTCTATGGAATTTTACTGCAATTTATGCAATATACAAAAACTAGAAGAAACATTTTTTAAATAGCCCCTATTTGGATGCCCCACAAAATATGTATATTTCGAAGTTTTATGTACGAAATTATACGGTCATATTTTGACAGCGTAATCTACATCTTAAAATAGGAATAAAAGTTACAAGTGAAGTGCTGATGGTACATTTTGGTAAATATTTTCTAAAATTTCTTTAGTCACCGGTTTTCCAAATAAAAAAAAAATAAAATTTCTGATTTCACAGGCCTACTAATTTATTGTTTACACTTTCGAATAACTTATCATGAAATTTTCAAATGCTTTTTTCTTGAAAATGGTGCGTCCTAGCGAGATGCAACAGAAGTAGCTTTATTATAAAGAAAACATTGGTTTTCTAAATTTTATAACCAAAAATATTAAAAACTGTCAACAAAAAAAACTTAGGGCAATTTTACCCTAAGCCCCCCTAATTTACCCACCTATGAAGATGATCAAAAACTGGGGTTTAGTCCATTAAATAGAGCGTAAAAGGTAAGCATTTGTACCAAATTTCACTTAGTTATCTTTAAAAGTTTAGAAAATATTCACAAAAGAGTGTCATCAGGACTTCACTTTTAACACCGTGTATCTCGGAAAAGAAACGTTTTTGGACCTATGTTTATATAAACTTTTACTCCTATTTTAGGATGTAGATTATGCTGTTAAAATATGACCGTCTAATTTCGGGACACCCTGTATAAGGCAGTACCTACATTTTTGTAACCTACTTACATATTGCTATTCCATAAGAAAATTATGTAAACATTCACATTCTAGTTTAGTGTTTTTTTTTTAATCTTTATAGGGCATGCAAAGTACAAAAGTGCAGGTGATCAAATTGGGGAAAAATAAAACAAACAAAAAATACTTAAAACCAATTATATTTAAGGAAACAAAAACCAGAAAAAAAAACTCTAAAACACAGTGAAACAGAACTAAAGATAGTTTTATATTTCTTTTAAATGCTTTGAACTTTTTTCTATATTTTTGTCAATATTCTAATTTTATTATTGTTCAAAAAAGGCAAGCGACATAGTCGAAGCTGCTCCTTTAGTTAGTGACAAAAATTATTCTAAATCATTACATCACAGTTAAAATCCAATACACTATAAACTATAATGAATAAAACTATTTCTTCTTTCTTCGAGTTCTATATCCTCTCTCGCCTTGAACTGGTTTATGTTCTGGGCTGAGACTGTATGTTGCTGGAGACCATTCCATAGATATGCAATTCTGTTTGTTATGAAATTTTTTCTTTGCAGTTTATTACACTTTTCTTTATCTAATTTCTTCGAGTGACCTCTCAAGGTTCTTGATGTGCTGAACTGGAAGATGTTATCACATGTGTAATATCTGCTGGTCCACTTGTAAGTTTCTATTAAGTCTCCTCTAGTTCTTCTATCCTTTAAACTTGTAAGTTTTAGTTTGGCTAGCCAATCACAATACTCATTGTTTTTTAGGGTTGGTGGTATTTTGGTAATTCTCCTTTGTACTCTTTCCAGCAGTTTAATGTCTTTCACAAAGTATCAAAGTATGGATCCCAAACAGTCTGTGCAAATTCTATCTTTTGTCTTATGTAAGTTGTATATAGTTTGAGAATTATATCTTCGAAATGATCTTTAAAATCTCTTTTGATAAGGTAAATGAGACTGTTGACTTTAGTCACTATATTAGCAATGTGGGGTTCCCATTTTAAGTCTTAAGACATGGTTACACCAAGATCCTTTTGTGTTTCGACTGGAGTAATTGTGTTTGTATCTAAGGTGTACTGTGTGTGGAGATTATTTAGACCTATGCGCAATACTATACACTTGTTTATGTTGAGAGGTAGTAGCCATTGTTGGGACCAGATTCCTATTTTATTCAAGTCTTGTTTCATTTTGTGAGAGCTTTCCAGTGGCTTACAGTAGATCTTTCCATCGTCTTGGATGGTTTTTGACAGCTGTCCATTTATTCTTACACAGAATTGCCGGTTGAGTAAGAAACTCTTGATCCACAATAATAGATTGCCTCTTATTCCAAAATGTCCCAGTTTGCTTTCTCATAATCAAGATATATCACATCAGTTGGCTGGTTGTTGTCATTCCACACTGTCCACTGGTTAACTGCACTTAGAAGATTTGTAACAGCAGATCTTTGTGGCATAAATCCATGCTGATTGCTTGGTAAAGTTTTCCATCATGAACTCGGTTACTTCTTTTGTACTAATCATTTCCATTGCTTTTCCGATATAGTTTGTAAGACT